AAAAAAAAAAAAAAAAAAAAAAAAAAAAAAAAAAAAAAAAAAAAAAAAAAAAAACAAATAAATAACAATTTCAATCGTAAAAGTGTAACGCAACGTATGTTGCGAGGCTCGGCGCAATAAACTTTTGCCAATTTTATCCTCTGGCTGTAAAAACTTTGCCAAACATGTTTACACGCGTCTACGTATATGCATAACGGGCGAAAGATTGATGGCTCCCTGAAATATACACATATATGCAGTGCGTTTCTGCGAGTGTTTGCTCGAGTATAATTACGTAGTTGCTGACGAAAAGAGGGAGAAGGATGTAAAAAGGCGGAAAAGTTGGCCATTGCCGATGTATATGTATATATATATATATATATTCATGTATAACATGTACATTGGATATGCGTAATGAATGGTTTCCCCTTTCATTTCAGGCTACAAGACCATATTGAAATGCGTGCAAGGAAAATTCAAATCCGGCGAGCTGACGGCCATAATGGGCCCCTCCGGAGCCGGCAAGAGCACCCTCATGAACGTACTGGCCGGTTACAAGTAATGCACATTAAGTGTATATATTTTACTAGATTTTGCTCTCGCGTAGCGCAAACGTAATATAGAGCGCAAAAAAGTTTTCCTAGCTCTCTTTTTTTTTTTCTACTTTCATCGCGTGCACGAACAAAGACAGAGGGAAAGAAAAAAAAAGAAATTTACCTATACCCCGGGAGAAGAGCGCGCGCGGATCGATAACTCGATAACACGTGTACCTACCTACGTACACACGCTTTGAAGGTCGCAATTATATCTCATATACCGCGCTGGGGTCTATTACGTGGGTATGAACGATTCATCAATCAAAAGAAGAAAAAAAAAATTAAATAAACAAAGTTTGGATTACGTGTTTCTCTCTGTGATAACGTCGATACTGTTTGTTGGAAGGACGTCCTGCTTGAGCGGCTCGGTTTTGATAAACGGAAAGGAAAGGAATCTCCGTAGGTTCAGAAAAATGTCGTGCTACATCATGCAAGACGACCGCCTCCTGCCCCACCTCACAGTCTACGAAGCCATGACTGTGTCCGCGAATCTCAAGCTGGGCAAGGACATAAGCACGTGTGCCAAACGAGTTGTGGTGAGTGAGAGCTTTTGTTCGATCGACGGATTAAACAAAAGAATCATATGTATCGAGACGAGAAAAATCTTTGGTATCGCAGATCCAGGAAATAATCGAGACGATGGGCCTGAGCGAAGCGTGCAACACGCAGACCCACAGTCTGAGCGGTGGCCAAAGGAAGAGGCTGTCCATTGCCCTCGAGCTGGTGAACAATCCGCCGGTCATGTTCTTCGACGAGCCCACCTCTGGCCTCGACAGTTCCTCTTGCTTTCAGTGCTTGAGCCTCCTCAAGTCCCTCAGCAGAGGAGGTGAGGAGTAAAAAAAAAAAAAAAAAAAAAAAAATGCCCACAAATGGCACACCGACCGTATACGCGAGATCTATTATACTATTGAAAAAAAAAAAATGATTTTTTACCCACGCAGGTAGGACAATCATCTGTACGATTCACCAGCCGAGCGCCCGGCTCTTCGAGATGTTCGATTACCTGTACATCCTAGCCGAGGGCCAGAGCATCTACCAGGGCAACGTGGGCGGACTCGTGCCCTTTCTCTCGTCGATGTGCCTCCACTGCCCGAGCTACCACAACCCGGCCGACTACGGTACGTACACCAAATAACATACATGTACTCCTCGTTTTGACCGATCGACAATTAATTGGAAAATGGCCCCTCCGTTTGTCCGAGGCAGTGATGGAAGTAGCGTGCGGCGAGCACGGCGAGTGCGTGCAGAAGCTCGTCTCGGCGGTGAACAACGGCAAGTGCAACAACTACCAGCAGCAGCAGGCGGTGCTGGCGGCGATGCACGGCGCCTCGAACGACGTCGCGAAGCAGGCGATGCTCCACCAGCAAGCCGAGCCGGAGCCGGAGATCGGCACGACGCCCGTGTCGGGGGACGCGGTTAGCGCGAGCAGCAAAACGACGCCGCCCGAGGCCAACGGGACCAATGTCGTGGTGAGCGTGCCCGTGTCGTGCACGACCTCGCTCCTCGACAGCGCCGAGAGCATCGAGGCCAAGGTTGGCTTTCCCACGAGCGGCTGGATCCAGTTCTGGATACTACTCAAGAGGACCTTTCTCTCGCAGACCCGCGATCTGGTGCGTGCAGTTTATCTCATTTTTCACGCGTTCGTATACCTTTCGCGCGAAACGTGCTAGCTCACTGGCAATTAAACTTTCGCATCGGCTTGTATAATTTCCATACGCGTTACGGTGTAATGAGCGTAATAAAAGGGCCCAATATTATACTTAACTGCAGGCACATCTGATCTCTCTATAGGTTGTATCGATTTCGAACACGTATTACTTTTTAAAAGGAAGCGAGCTACTCACTTCTTATATACTCATAATATATACTCATAATCCTTATGTATTTCGAAAATAATGTCTTCCTACTTCGGAAAAATAGTATAATGGCCACATAAGTGCCATCCAATCGGCACTATAGTATACCTTATGGTACTTCTGTGACGACAACTACTATTATTATTACTATATTCTTTCGTTAATGGTACACTTAAATTTGCGGATAAGGAGATTCTGGACGTGCTTATCGCGAGTTTTGAAATTAGTTTCGAGAAATAATAATACTTATACCACTGGAGCCTCTATGGGATTGCCCATGCATCGGACCGTAGACCGATGACAACGACCGGTCTGTACTTAAACAGCCGCAACCCCCCGACGATTAAATTTTCCTCTCGTCCGAACGAGTTTTTCCACTTTGTACTACTACGCACCTCCTCTGCCTTGTCTCACGTCAGGTATCCAGAAAATATACACACACACACACGTGCACGTGCTGCTTTCTTCTCTAATGTACACATAAATATATACCTTACAAGGAGCACGACGATGCTGTTGCTAAGCGCAATGAGTCATCGGCAGTTCTTTGTCCATGACATGTAATAAAGCTCTTCCTCAAGATAAACTCCTCGCCCCCCCCTATTTTTTCCTACCTTTCTCGAAACAGGATTTGGTTTTAGATGCATATTTTGTCATGCACGATCGAAAATAATGCCTCAGGAAATTTTCCTGGCCCGATACTTTCATTGGAAATCGACAAATAATTAGGATCGCTGATGGACTGAAAAAAATTAATTACAATGGCACCTTACGATGGTCACACGCAATAATTTTTTTCTTGAGATGAAGTGTATATTAAAAAACGGTGATGGAATATAAATGTTCAACAAACCAACAATAATAAATTATTTCAGACGCTGACGCGGCTGAGGCTAGTGTCGCACATAGTCGTTGGTTTCCTCATCGGTACTATTTACTATGACATTGGTAACGATGCCTCTAAAACGATGAGCAATGCCGGCTGTGTCTTTTTTACCGTCATGTTTGTCATGTTCACCGCCATGATGCCAACTATTCTCACATGTAATTAAAATCGGTTTTCTTCCGTCATTGCTATTAAGTATACCTACAACAAAAGAAAACAAAAAATTAACGCCTCGTCGATTGATTACAGTTCCAATGGAAATGGCCGTTTTTGCCAGGGAACACCTCAATTATTGGTACTCGCTGAAAGCGTACTACTTTGCGAGAACCTTGACTGACATACCGTTTCAAGTGATTATCTTTTTTTTTTTTTTACTTATCTTACACCAAGACCGCACGTATTACAAAAACGATGAATTATGATGATTTTTGCTTCTTTCAACAGATCGTGTATACGATAGCCTACGTAATAATAGTGTACTTCATGACGTCGCAGCCCCTCGAGCCCGAGAGGTTTTTCATGTTTCTAAACATTTGCATATTAACGTCTCTGGTCGCCCAATCCATCGGCTTACTGATAGGCGCCGCAATGACTGTCGAGGTAAGAAATATACATATATATATATATGTTGCGTTGAACCCAAAACCGATTTCGGGAAAAAAAAAAAAAAATTACAGACGGGCGTGTTCATCGGGCCAGTGTCGACGGTCCCGATAATCCTGTTCTCGGGCTTTTTCGTCAACTTCAACGTTATCCCGTCGTACCTGCGCATCTTTTGCTACATCTCGTACATGCGTTACGGCTTCGAGGGGGCGATGGTCACGATATTCGGCTATGATAGGCGTAGCCTCAAATGCCCCGAGGACTTTTGCCTGTACAAGTCGCCCCGGAAATTCCTCATGGACATGTCCATGGACAAGGCGGACTACTGGATCGACTCTCTCGCCCTCATCGGCTTCCTCACCTGCCTGCGGATAGTCGCCTACTTCGTGCTCAGGCTCAAGCTACGCCTGCTGCGCTAGACCAATATAACCCTTTTCCTTTTTCTTTTTTTTTTTTTCATTTTTTTTTCTCCCACACACGCATCATATTACACACCACGTGGGTATACATGAATTAGAATTACGTTACGTATGTATATATATATATATATATAAATGCATACTTACGCGCAAGGGATCCAAAGACGCGTCTCGGGCTCTCTAAATGTAAGTACGTATAAACATGTACGCGTGTTTGTGTGTGTGCGTGTGTCTGTTCGAAGGGTGATTTTTATACGTACTCGTGCGAATGATATTATATCCGACCGCAAGTATTAATCGTTCGCGGTGGAGGAGTACTCGGGGTGGAAGCATCCAGAGGCACGTTGGAATATTTTTCACCGCGTATATAGGGGAAGGGAGAATTTTTTCTACGGCGATTTGTACATTGTATAGACGGTATCGTTGCAATTTCTTTGTTTTTTTTTGTTTCTTCGAGCGCGTGTGCGTGTGTCTGATTGTTGAGGCTGAAGTTCTATCGGGATATCGGGAAGGGGGGAGGAAAAGGGATTCATTGTTTTTTTTTTTTTTTTTTTTATATAACGTTCACAGCCGACTACAATTCCCATTTACTGCCGAGTGTGTTTTTGTCATTGGTTCGTGTAGTGCCAACGATCCGAGAAAACCAACAATACTATGTGAACGAGAACTAATTGTAATAATAATAATTGATAATGATGATGATTGTAGCTTATGTGTTGCGATATTTATAAAAAAAAGCGTTTTATTTTTCTATTGATCTTTTTTTTCCCATTAAAGTGTATCGTTGGACACGGGCTTCAATTGATTTTTAATAATCTCAAATATGTTAATTCATCGATTGATATCGTTAGTTTTTTGTATACAGAGTTGTTACTGTGTATTTTTGAGTATACAACACGAGGAAGAAAAATTCTGACGAAACCGAAATGATCTCATTGAAAAAAAGTGTCGACGTGTTGCAATAAATTTGTAAACGATCTATAATATGTAAGCTTAATAGACGATGATATTCAGAGACAAGGTAAACAATAATGATTTACATAATATGTTTCAATTGTTGACATACCTTATTGTATACGTGTAACATATGCGATGGAATTCCGATGTTTACAATTTAGTGAGTACACGCGCTAGTTCAATTATTGTCCATCGTGGAGGATATGGTATTATTACGACTAAATTAAAAAATACAACTTGTAATTGCCTTAGCTACATGAACAACCCTTAATAAAATGTACACACGTCGTTACGTAAACATATTATATACGCAACCCTTACTATGATTACCATCACTTAATCTTTTGTTTATTAATTATAATAATCTTTTATCCAAGAGAACAAGTATTTTTATGCCTAAATAATGTACATATACATTTATACTCTTGAGAACTGCACGTCGATGTACACGGTATGTATGTCGCCAGAGATAACAGTTGTGAGAGGGTAAACACAAACAGCAGAGTACGCGCTAAGATGCGAGGAAGCAAAATTGTTTTGTGATACAGTAACTATACTCTGTTCCTCGCCAATTCGACAAATTCATCTTTGTAAAGGGCACGAAGGTCATAAATTTCGTTACGTTATTGGCATGATGTATAAACATAAATATAATATATGATCCTGTGAAAAATTATTGTTACACGGAAATCCGATGATAAACCAAGTGTACCTGCGACGACGCGAATCAATTTTTATAAACTGTTGTAATGATATGTATATCCGATAGCTATAAAATTTTATATTTTACGTATAGTAGGAATCTCATTGTGCTAATAACACTTTTATTTTATTTTTTTTTTTTATTATCGTGTACATTGCTAAACGTTAACGTTGTAATTATTATTCGTCACGTTTTTCGTATAGGTATATGTTTCTTTTTTTTTCATTTTACATTTAATTATTTATAAACAACTAAGATCTGTCTCGAAACTTTTTTTCCCACGGCTGAGACAAAGGAAAACTGTAGGGGGAAAACATGTCTCAATCACCAGTTAAATTATTCGATGTTCTATAGATTTGTACTATTTTTGTATAATTACCAATACTATTATTATCATTTGTATTTTCTTTATTCTCAAAATAAAACGAAACATTTGTTAAAACCATTGTACATCAGCATGGGGACTTTATTCTACGTCATGTTATCCAGTAACCACCTACTTGGAAAAAAAAAAAAAAAAAAAAAAACATTATCAACAAACATTTTTATAGTCGTATAGGTATACCAGTCAAAGTCCACGAAAGACTGCCCGAATTTCTACCACGATGACATTAACGAGTAAGAAAATAAAAAATAAAATTTACGCAAAAACGTCGTTTTATTAAAATATAAATACTTATTAAGTAATATACAAGCACGAAAAAAATGTATGTATCTATATATATACACGAAGAGTAAAAAACAATAAGCAAACAAATGTATACAACAATCAAAGGAACAACGAGTCACGAGAACTCAGAGTGTGATTTTCGATCCAGCGTCTGTAGTGGGAGACCTCCGTGTACACGCCGGGATAGTAGGCAGCCGCGCACCCGTTGCCCCAAGAGACGATGCCGGCGAGCCGACCCTCTATGGTGAGCGGACCGCCCGAGTCACCCTGGCAAGAGTCCTTGCCACCGGAGCCGTAGTAAGAGGCGCATATCTGGCCCTCTGGTAGGCCCCCGAAGCTCTTGTACGCGTCGTTGCAGATGTCCTTGCTCACGATCGGTATCGAGACCGCCTGTAGCTGTATAGGCATACCCTTGCCCGTGCTGCCCCAGCCGGTGATTACCGCCTTGACTCCCGGGGGTGCCTCCTCGCTCGTGTTGAACCTTCAAAAGTAATGTCATATTTTTTTTTTTTATCCGCTACTCAATGTTTTTGTGTGTATTAATAGTGCAGTTGGTTACAGTTCGATGGGCTGGCGCGTGTCGTCGAGGACGAAGGGTTCGACGAGCCGTAGGACGGCGACGTCGTTCTGGGGTACCCCGTTGCTGTTGATCCCGTAGTTGTCGTGCCTCAAGATCTCGGCGACCTTGTGCAGGCTGCCACCCGTGCCCCACTCGGACGTGCCCGCGCGCACCGTCAGCTGCTTGGGGGACATGCCCACGCAGTGGCCCGCCGTAAGGACGTGGCTGGCCGAGACGATAGAGCCGCCGCAGACGTGCGAGCCGTAGCGTTGGAGGGACACTTGGTGCGGGAAGGTCTCGATTTTTGCGTTCTCGCCCCCGACAATGCGCCCGTGCGGGAAGAGGGACGACTTTTTCACGTGCCCGGCTGATGCGTTTGTTGCAGCGCAGGGTTTTTTTTTAATAACGTAACAATAATCAGTTGTTTACACTTTCAGATAACCACATATATATATACACATGGTGCGCAAAAAGCAAGAAAAGTACTTGTAAAAATCTGAATACAATTTTTTTTCTTCATTTAATTACCTGAATGTTAACTATACAAAATTATCCATCATCCAATGTCTTTACCAAATTAGTCTTATAATGGTTAAATTAAAAATCAATGAATGGTAAATGGTAAATCAAGCATTTAAATCACGTTCACAAGCTTCTCTTCGTACCATAAACGATTTTTTTTTTTTTTTTTTCAATCGACAATTTGCACGGATAACTAATTATTTTTGTTTCCAATAAAAATCAACGTGAGAGAGTGTATATGTTATTATAACGCGTAAACATGGTAAAACTCACCTCCATCGACAGTAGCGGCAGAGGCAGCAGCAATGGCCAAAGTGACCGTAATTATGAAGCGAAACATCGTGATTGGTTTTAGGTATGAAAAACTTAAAAGCGCCACTCGGGTATTTATACCGTTTTACATGCGACTCGCGTGTACATTTGTTACACCTACTTCGTCGAATTGTTTTTTATCTATATAATATATATATCCTATCCATTGCAAATACGATAAAAAAACTATATATGCGCATGTATATCGCCCGTTTTATTGTTATCAAAGGCGATCCAGATAGCTCAATTACACATTATCGGATGGGATTTGTTTTATACATTAAGATTCATCACATACATTGCTCATATGCCACTCTCGCTGGCTTGCATTTAAAGCGCCTCATGTAAGTACCACACGATAAATCATAAGTGAGCTGTCGTTGGAAAAGAAATTTTGGACGTTGCATGGACAGCCAATTTGTTGTAATGTTAAAAAAACAAATCTACTTGAAAATCACGTCATTGACACGAATATGTATTGGTGTCAGACGATATCTCGGAATCAAACTAAGTACACCTAATGTACATATATATTTCCAATCGTACGAAGTTAACGAAGTAGTTTTCTCACCATTTAAGTTTCGCTTGCGCTAAGAATTTTCGATACGATCATTTAATGAAAAAAAATAGTCAACGTACAAAAATGTTTTATCTTGACGAAAGCCCCTGGAAGCGCACGTATATACAATTCTTAGCAATAAAAATAAATTAAATAAAACTTGAATTCGTGCCGGCGGTGACATGTGCCCAACTCATTCCTTTGCTTACACCATACGCATACTAAAAAGTCACTTATACCGCTGAATGATAAAAAAAAAATAGGTCCGATTTGAATATTCATCAGAGAATTAGTATGTTTCTCAGCGCTCGCTTGATATGATTGTGGCTTACTTTTGAACCAAGGAAACCTATATACATATAGTCGATTTTTGTTAATGCGATAATGAGGAGCCGTAGTTTTCACACCGTCGTTAATAACTATGGCAATGGTTTTTTTTTTTTTTTTTTTTTTTTCGTAGAGAAAGCCACAAATAAGTACACCAAAAATCAAAAATAAAGGGCGTTTCTGCGAGATGTGTCGTGACTTGGTAGTTAGAGGAAGATTTCTTTCTTACCGACAAGCTGGGAGGAACTCTCTGATCTTTTTGTTAGCCTCAGAGAAATAAGAAAATAAGTATTATGGAAATCAGGTAAAAGGTAATAAAAGTGACAATACAAATTGAAAATGGATAAAAATTGTTGTTTAATGATAAAATTTTTTTAATTAAGTCAAAGTTGAAAAACAGAATAGAGCATGAGAAAAGGCAGCTTTGTGTGTACCAATGAACTAGCAGTGATTTTATCAGGGAATAATGATATAAGGTATTAAAGAATTTTTTTAATCTCGGTATATCAATGTTTGTATTAGATTTATGGTTAATCTAAAAAGTATCTACTCGCGCGGTAGCACATGGCACGTCCACATCATTACAAAAATAATTCACGTGAAAAAGTTCTTCCCAGCATGTATTGGGTTTTAAATGGCTCATAATTTTCAAGCATCGAATGAAAGGGTGAATATCGATAAAAGGTAATTATTAAATTATTACACAAATCGTTCTGCTTGCTTAATTTATTTTCATCGTTCAAAATACGATGTATAAATTGAGAAAATATGTTTCAAATATTAGGCGCTGACAATCAATTGATTCTTATTACGTATTTATAAAATTCTAAGGACAGTGAGCAAATCCAGTCACAATAATAAATTAAAGTTGGATTTGTCACTTGAAATTTTATTTTTTACTTTTAGTTTTTTTTTTTTTTTATATTTTTTTATAACTTTTTTGCGTTAATTGGTGTCAGTTTCAACTAAATACGTTTTTAATTCATTTGAAAGTTTGCGGCTTTACGAATCAAATAATAATAATAAAAAAAAAATAAAAAAAAGAATAACTAAAGCTACAATCACTTTAATAAATTATTAACTTGAATTAGAAGTTTTAAACAAACTAACTAAAAGAATCGATTGTATAAACCATTTTTCTCTTGAACTGATAACGCAACTGGACTTACATCGTATGCCTCACATTATAATGATCGTGCTCGTCAATTTAGCATTTCGTATAGCATAAAAACAAAACATTAGGCTTGTGCAATCGCCTAGATGACTTATGACTATTTGCTCACAAGATTACGCAACACGAGTCTTCGCAATTGTGGAGTCGAAGGCGAAGATTCATCGAATTACGTAGAGAACAACGCACTCGATTAGCGATTAATGCGAGTGCCACCGTAACAATTATGTACAAGTTATTATTTTTTTTTTTTTTTACAAGCACTATTATGTACAAGTACTATTATTTGTTTTACTCCTACTTCTTGTTAATGGTTCATCAGTATCATATCTAAATTTCATATCGTAACATTCAAATGACTAAAAATAGTTGTAAAAAAGACGCGAGTTTCGCTTTTAATCACATATTAAAAGTTTTTACCCTAGATATAACATTAAAAATGTTTAACAAAATTGGATATTATTATAAAAGTAACACTGATCTGTCATAAATAGACCATTATTTACATCCAAAATCTAGAGGAAAATTAATTAATTTAAAATCATAATCCTAACTGCTATATCAAACAAGTTTCAAGACTATTATTTACATATTTATTGTTACGCTGACGTTATCGTCGTCCTCAAATTCTTGAAGCTTCATTCTGTTCAAACTTATCATGTCTGGTATGTCGAGATAACTTTGTACTTTGTCAACTACCAGATTCGGAAGACAAGATTGAAAAACGGCATTAAGGTTGTCAACCACAGACGCTATGGCTTTAGTCTCCTCTTTGCTTATTGGTCTCAAACCCAAGACAAGGTTCCTGTCCAGCATGTTTGCATAGTCAGTGAAGTAGTGCGTATGATTCTCGAAGATACTACGGATGTTGGGCTTGTTGACGTACGAAAGCAAGCTGCGCCTATTGCCCCGCAAGAACTGGTAGTACGTTATCTCGTCATCCATGGAAGTTGTCTTCAAAAGCTTAACTTCTTTGATGCAACAATTCTTAAAGTACTTGCATTCTTCCTTGAGTCTATACTCATGAGCCAAGATTCTCCTCAAACCGTCTTCCACTTGTAAGTCTGCTACGTCTCTCTTGATCATGTATTTCATTAGCAAAGTCTTTATGTCAGCGTTTAATGAAGCATAGCGTGGATTATTATGCAAATTGGCTACACTCGCTCCAAAATCTAATAGGAGTTCGAATATCTGTAGATAATTATGATCTATGGCGTACTGTAAGGCGGTCTTGCCATGAATATTTCGAATATTGACATCAGTGTCACAATGGAAGAGTAATTGTTTCACCAAAATCAAGTTGCCCTTCGACACCGCGTGATGAAGTGCCGTCATGCCTTCAACGTCCGCCTGATTTACATCTAACGTCTCTTGACGAAACAAAAGGTTAATGCACGCACCGTCGTCGTCGTTTACAATGGCAGCTACAAATGGGTTCCTACCGGAATCATCCGTAATGTTGACATCAGCGTTGTTTTCTACCAACAAACCAAGCATGAACAAGGAATGCTTATAAACCGCGTAGTGCAATGGCGTGCCACTGAACTTGGAGCGGGCATTTACGTCCACGCCGTTTTCGAGTAGCAACTGGACAAAGTCGTGCCTAACTTTATTGACCGCGTAATGCATCAGATTCGCGTCATTGTAGTCTCGTTCATGGAGATTAGCGCCATAACTTATGAGCAGCTTGAATGTTTCAATGTCACCGCCGAGCACCGCATGAAACAACGCTGTCCGACCGTCCGTGTCTCGACGATACAGTGGAAGACCACATCCTATTAAATATTCGACGATTCGGTAAGAACCCTTTCCACAGGCGATAAATAACAGTGCGTTGGACCATTCATCGTCGCATATGACGCGTTGAGTACCTTCTAGAAGAGCTTGCAAAAGCTGAAATCAAAACATTTCTAGTTAACAATTACGTCAACACTCGAATGAGCATTGTTGAAGTTAATTTCAATTTGCAGACAAACTGACAACACGATAACGAACGAATGGCAAAGAAAAAAAAAAANCTTAACGTGTCAAATGAAAATTCAAGGTAAATTAAGTATCGTAAATGTAAAGCTACCTAAGCAAAGTTTCGTTAAAAAAAAAAAAAAAAAAAAAAAAAAAAATGAAAAGCCCGATAAGTATAGCATTTTTATGAATTTTCGTGATTTGTAAAGTGAAAAACCACTTACGTTAGAGTCATTCATTCCTATAACCATGTGCCAATAAGTATCAGGCGCACGATGTGGGTAGACGATCTGGTCCGGATGGCAGCCTCGATCGATGAGCAATTTAATGACGTCGGTATTACCGCCGCGTATGGCATTGTGAAGCGTAGTGACCGGCCAAAGGGAGTTGGCCTGTACGACGGGCTCGGCGCCGAAGTGCAACAGCAACTCCGTCGCACAGAAATCTCCACGAGAAACCGCTATGTCTAAGGGTGTCTCTCTTTCAACGTTTTTCGCGTTGACATCGTACATATTGGACCAGAGTAACTCCTCCAGCTTATCATACTCCTGTTCCCTCACAGCTCGATGTAGGGGATACATTTCGAAGCTTTGGCTAAATCGAGCTGTCATTGGCAGCACACTGGGTACCTCATACCCAAGCTTTGGTTCAGGAGGGTGGTGGATCAAGCAGAACTGGCTAGAAGCGCCTCCATCACTTCCAAAGACGTATTGTGGCCGCCAAGTCCCGCAGTTTGTCTGTTACACACACACACACACGCAAGTTATTAATTTAAAACTTAATATTTATTTATTGGATTACCAAATTAGAAGATGTATGAGTTATATGGTTTATATAGAAACAGCCTAGTAATGTATAAATGAAAAAATAAAATGGTTTTCTACAACAAATTATAAGGAAAATGCAACAATCAATCTATGTATACAAAATTTAGTAAAGTAAAATGAGGTACGTACATGAGACATTGTTTTTTTTTTAACGATCAGAGAAATAATGACTTGTAGAATCTATAGTTTTCTATAGTAATCAAGATACAAAGAAAGTTTATCCACAAAAAAGTTCTTAAATTTTTTCAACGAATAATCTTAGAAAAAAAATTCTAGAAACTCTTTCATTGAATTCTGCTCTTTTCATGCTAGAATAGTTGTGATTCACCAGTATTAGAAATTATCAAAAACCGTAGAAAACTCACTTTAGGAACATATAGTAAAACCATTTTGACTTTGAAGACAGTTGTTTGAAGACCCACTTTGTATCTTGATTATACAATTCAAAATAATTGGACCTAAAAAGTCTTAAATAAAGAGTAATATTTAACTCACAAGTAAAATAAAATCAAAGTGTTTACAATAAAATAAAGCCGTTACACAAAATGGAAACCTCTTATTTAATAGATAAACTCAATTCTATCAAAATTTATAACAATGAGTAGGTAAAATTTCTTACCTGGTGCATGTTGCTTTAATTCTCAAATTGTTTATTAGCTGCCTATCCAGTGTCACTTTTCTGATTGACCAAAAGATGTAATCTTCGATGATTTCCTGTTATTTTTTTCGGGCCATCTTTTCATCTGGATTAAAAATATATACAAACGTATAAATTCAATTCTTAAAACTTGAAAAACAATTCTTAACTTTAACACGTTTGATTCTATGAAAAACCAAATATTATTTTTAGTTACTCTAAACTAAGAAATGATATAACCTTTCTCATTGTTTTAGTTGAACTGAAATGTTTAATAGGCAAAACTTGGAATATTTTTTTGTGAAAGTCTGTACACTTTAGGAACATAACGTATCATTTAGACACAAGTTTGAATATAACAATAATAAGTTGAATATTGTGTCAATAGCTAATCATAATAACTGGGTAATAACACCAAGAGATAAAACACCAAATTAAATGTAACAAAAACTTCAAAGATCCAAACAATCTCATGTAATGCACAGAATAATTTGGTTACACGCCAAAAATATCAATCAACTTTAAATCTATACATCTGATTAGCATTAAAAAATTGTGTATAAATTATACTTTGGATCTAAACATATTGTGATACACATAATTTAGAAAATTCATACTTCATCTTAACCAGATAAATAGATGCAAAGCTTAAATAAAACCATTGAGACTAGATGAAGGTTACCCAGAATTCAGATAGAGATTCAGTGGTCCAGTCATAAACCTTGTGAGTTCACAGCCAAGAGATTACAGAAAGAGGCTACTTGACTTGTGGTGTTAGTCCACCTTGAAATGTAACTGATTTCTTAATAACCCAGGTCTTGCTACTAATGGATTACAGAAAAAAGGTTAGATCTATTTCAAGTTTGTTGAACAAAAAATGATACTTGCTGATGTCTGAATGGAATTTGTAAGACATTGCAACAACCAAGCAGTTAATGCAAATACTTTATATATATATAAACGTTAGTTATCGCTCTATGTTGAGTAATAGTACACGTAGTAAAAGGAGTGGGGATGTTTACTGCTAAATGAATAAATGTTTTTGTGACATGTGGGCGACTTAACATACATACATACACATACATATAAATAAAAAACCAGGTAACCACGAAAAACACGTCAATTGTCGATTTTAAGCACTCAACGAGCTCTATTGTGTAAACGCATTCGGTAATCTGAGCAAAGATTGTTGTAGACATTTACAGAATAGACCCGCAAAAACGTGAAAATTAAGCTATCCCAGCACTAGAACTCCGAATGGTGGTCCATGCACGACAGCACATTGACACAGGCAGCTGACCGTGGCCACTTTAATAAAGTAATAAAGTTGCAAAAGTACCCTTTGCTCAACACGAACGTCAAGATCAACGAATAATTTGCATTGATGGCCCCGCTAAAGTTTAATTTAGCCGTCAAAAGTTGTTCAACTCCGAGAGAGTACTCACTCGACCATAACCTCTACGCTGCTTTGAAATATCCAACGTTTTCATACTTGACTTTCGGTAACTTTCATTGACTAAGCGCCATATTAGCTAGTTCGTTGGGATATCTGCAAATTCTGCGATGATTTCTTCGCACTAGTATGTTAACACGGACGATAAGCGGCGTCGAGGAAAACGAGAGAAATCAAGTGTACCGCACGCGAAGTCAGTCCTGTTGGTGTTAATCGACACAGGCACGGGAAAAAAGGGACGAAAAATCGCGTTCACGGCATGGAAACCTACGGTGGTATCCGATGGCCACTTTCTCCGCGCAGATTTACCTCGGATACAGTCGCGTAACACACTCTCCGGTCGCTTACTCGTTCACTGGCTCGATAAACGAGCGATATTTAAGAAAAAAATGCGACTAAGGATCTAACACAAATGTTTCACGCAGAAAGGACCAAGTAGGTATATCTCAACTCTGAAGTCACGAGAAAGCACGAGAACAAGTGTATGTAGGTAATACCTACACAAGTACTATGCGCTCCGACTCCGACTGCTCCGAGCAGCTCGAGCTCAAATGTACACGTTTTTATATCTGTATATAACCTACGTGTAAAAGAGAGAGGAGAGATTGTGTGTGCATGTGAAATGTGAATAGACCGTATAGACGTCGATGCCCCGATATATACATACAAATCCGGCTGTACATAGATATATTTCCCCAGGTGTCGGCACCTCTTCGTCGTCGTCGTCGTCGTCGTCGGACGATCCTCCAATCCAACTGACATCTTCCTAACCTCAAACCACCCGTGCCGAGAGTGCGTGTGCGCGCGGGCGAGACACCGAGTTCACGAAATAATCACACCCGGCTTTAAAACGACAAACAACCAGGACACCCCAAGGACGGGTTATATTGGTGTTCGCGGTTAACCGATGAATTTGTTAATACTTAAGTAAAAAAATATCATTCTTAATGCAAGTTAAATTACCTTGTCATGCAGACCTTTTCCACACGTGGGTTGTGAAAGTTCGCGGTAAAGATTTGTCGCGCTCGGTATTCTTGTGAGTCCCGTGCCGCGACTGGCTGGTCGCCGACTCGCAACGGCCAATCCCGAGGTTGCGGGACTATTCCTAGAGTGGGCGGCGACCGGCGCTGCCAAAGCCCGCGCGCGAGAGAGGAACAGACAGGACGACAGCTGCGGCAGCAGCACTTTAAACCCTCCGCTTTAAACTGTCCGAGCTGTGTAGGTTTAGTATATAAGTACTTACCACCGGCTTCAAATGTGTAAGCTACATTTTCATTGTGTTGAAACTACTGCGCGTGTGTGTTTAAATTTTGTCACACGCGACTACGCGAGTCTCGAGAGTGCTCGTTACCCTCGCTCGATAAACTTTTTTTTTTTTTCACAACGAACCCGGTATACAATTGAAACAACTTTTCCGTGGTTTTGACGCCTGACTCGGTGTGTTATTTATATGCATGTTTTAATGCACAACGTGAGATTACTTGTTTTATGACTTATACATGTTGCTCATCTGTCATCCGTTTAAATTAAGTCTACTGCTCTTGATGATGATGTCTGTCAAATTTAGAAAAACTTATCATAACTTTTAAATTCTTACATAGAATTACGTAAAATCAATTGTACCTATGCCTCAATCACGCGTTATTTCCAGAATTTGATTTGCTTGTGCGCCCTCGTTAAAAATAAAAATTACATTTTGTATCGGGCAAAAACTACAATAACGATTGCTGACAAAAAAAAATGAAAATAGCCGTGTTTTTATATTTAAACGTATACTTAGTCATAGTCATCTCTGCCTTGGGTGATATAATTATTAAAAACCGTCGGTGAAGTGAAGGCACCTACACCACGATCCGAAGCCGTATTACAACGTATATTGGCGCAGGCCGCAGGCACGTATATTTTTCTTTTTTATCTGACAACACCTACGCGCCCTACTTCACATAAATCGTTGTAGGTATATAAAGTATACAGAGGGGGATCAAGCGAGGAACCTAATTACCTAATTGATGAGCGCGAATCGATGCTACAGCGAGGACGGGGATAGATTGAAAAGCCAAAACAGTCAATTGCAATAAATTGACTTAATTATTTAAAAGCGCAAAGTCATATATACGTATACAGTCACCCGAGAATTGGCCATTTTTCCAACAAGTATAACCAGCCGATTGTGGGTGTTCTATGCTTTTGTTAAAGGGTGGATGATGTGAGTATATTTTTCCAAAAACGTTAAAATTTCGAGGTGTAAAAATTTGGATAAGCTCTCTAGGTAAAAACGACGCGATTCCAAAATAGATAGCATACATCGATAATACGTTGAGTTTTTCGAATTATAAACTTTCGTAAATCTGACACACAAGCGCTATAAGTAAAATACTTCATTCTGTTTTTAACACGTCGTTAACTACCTTACTTGACATTGTATTCACAGAAATAATTACATCAATTTTCGTATTAATTTTCAGCGATAATCGATAAAGTGGCGAGTGTGAAACTTTGGACGACTAAAAAAAATTATGAATTACTTTTAAATACAAATCTTCAATGTTTAAAATGTACTTGAATTATTGCTGTTGTTTGATATTTGAAATCATCTCGCATTATAAAACAGGAAACGTTTGTTTTAAAATGAGGATAAAATAAAATTACACGGATTTATGTACTTGCTCAATTTATTTCATCTTTCAAAATATGATGGACATACATTGGAAAAATATTTTTTACTATATTAGGCGCTGACAATCTTAAGTGTACCTTCATAAAATTCTAAAGGCCTCGACGAAAAGTTCAATTGTAATGCTTGCTACTTGAAAGTCTTTAGCAAAATTCAACAAACATTAGTTTGAACAGTAAACTTGATATCTATTTTGAAGAAAAATTGATCAACAAACAGATGGTGAAACAAGTTTGTATCTTCAACGAAAGCATCGCAGATAAACTTTTCATCATTACCGTAATTTATAATCGTATTAATCAATTTTCCGCAGCTTGAAATATTTGTTAGCTGCAAAAATGACTTGATTATTTCATCACAATAATAAACAAGATTCTTGAAAAACTTGGGATCTGCGTCTTCTTTGTCACTTGATATTTGTGAATCTTACCGACAATAGTTACTCTGTTATGATACAATTCTCATAGAATTCACGCAGATCCCTGCCACCCCTATAATAGCACCGATACGAGAGCATTAACAGTAGACAGCTTAAAAAAATAAAGAAAAGACTCTTCAAGTGCTGACTAGCAGATTATTTTAATGAATAATTCATTTGTTTTTTTTTCTCTTTTATAAAGATCACAGGTAAAATGGAAAAAATTGGCGCTCGTCTTATCCTAAACTCCTTACATTACTCACATGCCCGTTTCTCCGTTCAAACTTTACAACACAACAAAACATCATTAAGTATACGTTCATTTAATCAGCACCAAGTCTTGCTCACCTTAATCGTATGATTTTGCTAAACAGTAAATTTTAAACAAAAATGAATTATTTAATAAACGGAAACCAATTATTAGAATTTCCTTGTACTTAAATACGAGGAAATCCGACAAGTATTTTTTTTAATAAGTGACGCAAATACAATATATATTGTGCAAAAGCTGCAACCGCTACACGATTTCGTCACCGCCATCCAAGCATTGAATTAATTAACATGTAGTACCTTCGGTCCTTACTATTTAATAAAATATTCACAAAAAATATGTGCGAAGCAAACATTTATCATATCCTTAGTTTAAAGTAAATGAACACAAAATTAAAGTACGAATTGTATAAGTACCGATAGTTTCTCCCAAAGGCAGTTCAATTGTTTTACTTACAAATGTAAAACAAGCGATCACATATTGCGATCGTCACACAATTTGACAATCATTTTGTAAGCGACAGTTTAAAAATGGATTCATATATGTTGTAACATCGTGCCTTTATGCGGAAAGTGAGTTTAATAGAAATACTGAAAGATATTTGTAGTACACCATAAACATACTGTAAAAATGTGCTTTGTTTTAAAAATGACGGGTTAAAAGTGAAAGTAGATACTGGAAAGCTATTGTATGAGAATTCAACCATTGGTAACACAATCACCTAGTTCCACGATCACATACAGATTATATAAAATACCTTAATAAAAATTTCTACTTTTTTTTTTCTTGTTTTTGTATACTCACATCAGGCATTTTAATTCACTCATCGTATATCCGTACTTGATACGCATATCTGACGATTTAAACAAAGTTTGACACCATTTTTTTTTTTTTTTTTTTTTTTACTGTAACTTCTTATTGCACTTCAAGTTGCGAGGTACTCGTGAAAAATACTATTTAGTGCGCACGATTTTCTTAGCATGTATTAAAAACACTAAGCTAATTTTTAATTCTGTAATGCTGAAAAAAAATACATGTTTTAAATCAAATTACGTTTAGTTACGAAAATCACGTCCTATTGACAGCAGAGAAAGATTTGATTCATCACTTTACTTAATATTTCAAGGGCAATTTTTCCAAGAATAAACTTGGAGGCATTGAAACTGTACACGTGCCAACGATTACCATTAAATGAAATAAAAAATTGTATAATTGATTAGGCTTTCAGCATATTCGTTGTCATATTGCTCAATCTTTTTTTATCAAATAAAATGTGATATCGACAAAGTGGTGTTCTTGATTGATAGTATCGTATTTTTTTTTTTTTTAAAGTTGTGCAATCAAAATATTAAAATTGTTTAACAGTAAAATATTTGACTGTGCTGCTGTAAGCGCAAAACCAAGTACTCTAAAGAAACAATAAAACACCGTAAATACAAATAAAACACTATGAATAAAAAAATTCAAAATTTATTATATAAAAAAATAAACATTTTACTACAATTAAATGATTTAAACCAGTAAAAATTGAATAAACCATTTTACTTTTGCTAACGTAACTCGTAAAAAGAAAAGCCAGACGAAATAAAGTGGATGGAGGCTGGTTATCTTTTTCGATTTCTGAGTTTGCTGAATTGGTGCCAGCCAATCAACTGTTCATGCGTTCGTTTTATGCGCGCGAAAATACGAACCATAAAGTTATTTTTAAAAAACAAGGACGGGTATTTTTCAACCTTATTCACTAGATGTGATAAAAAGCTTGAAAAAGCCATGTGCGATGTGTAAGTACGTAGTTAAAAAGCATTTTATATTACATTATAAATATCCGCTTATAACAATAAGTTTGGATAGGTACCTCGTTTATCTCTTATTTTACTTCGGCTTGTTTGATAAGGTATTATTTGAATCACTGGAGCTTATTGATTTTTTCCTATACTTATTTGCTTTTCGAAATATACAATTATTTCTTTATGCTCTTTGTAATTTAATATCGAGAGATTGTTTGGCAAAAGTTATTGATCGAAATTCCTAAAGAGAGCCAAAGAGAGTGGTAATGTTTTTTTTTTTTTTTTTTTAACTATGGAAACAAAAATTTATTCACTAAAAACGGTAGGGATATCAACCAATTCCGAGGAAAATAAAAGGTTCCTCAGCGTGTGCAATTTTACCTTGAATATTAGTTATTAAAATCAAGATATGCAACGATGCTTGACTTCATAACCGAATTTTTTTTCTACTCATCACGTACAACTTCAAATAAAAAAAAAACGTTAAAGCAAGTACACTTTGGCGACGCTCAAAATAAAAAATTTGCTAAAAACATATAAAATATTATAAACGATCTCAAAAATGCTAGCAACAACAAGTAATACACTAAAATNAAAAAAAAAAAAAAAAAAAAAAAAAAAAAAAAAAAAAAAAACTCGTGCAAATCAATTAAGTTACTTAGTCTTTATCTCGCAAGAGCAATGAACGATACACGGGCGAAAAAAAAACTCGGCGCACTCCTTAGTCCAAGCGCAAAATAGTGTGCCAAAGACCAGATCTACAAAATGATGAAGACGCACAGAAAGAAAAAAATTAAATCCGATCGTTTGAAATTTTATTATCATCGTCTCTCTGTACTCTCTCATCCCGAAATGGGCTATCTTCGCGACGCTTAAACTACAATTTGACTCCGAGTCAGCAGAGCCAACTATGCCCTGGCGAGCCTGTTTGATCGTTCGCTCGACTGATTGCACTTGCATTGTTCCGCGACTGTGGCGTTAATGTGCACCCTCGAGGTGATGTGTGGTAGGGAGCCCAGGAGATTGGTACCTCGCAAGCTCCCGGCGAAACTACTGCGACCCAAAAACGTGTGGGCACAGTTGTACAGTTTGGTCTGCAGTATGAGCACGTCGTCGAGATCCTCCTCGCTGAAGAAATAAAAACAAAATGACGATTTGTTGACAGGAAAAAAAAAAAAAAAAAAAAAAAAAAAAAAAAAACTGACCCCCCAGACAGGAGAAATTTTTGAAATAATCTATTAGGTACTGTCTTTGGTCTATCGACGCTGTCCGCGTACAGATCAGTCTCTCTATTGTAAAGGTAGAGAAAGTCCGACAGTTGCTTAGCCGTGACGGCAGCTCTATCTTTGTCACCCAGTTTACTGTTTGGCAGCTGAAACAAAAACAAAATAATGTAAAGATCTCTTCGGGTGATGAACGAAGTCACGTGACAGCTGTAACGATGGCTCACAGTGAACATGAAAGGCGTTCGTAAATTATTGGCCGATTGCTGCAGGAATTTGGAGACGAGATCGCAACAGACAAAATCGGGATTCTGCTGGGATATTTTGCGCAACACGTGGCTCAAATAGTGGCCGAAAGCTTTCCTGGCTTCCCCGGAACTGTAAGCATTGGTAAATAATCATCTTTTTTTTTTTTTCTTTTTCTTTTTCTATACAAATATAGGTACAAATAAGGCACCTCAATTTATTTCCCTCATGCATCATTTGCATGACTTGGCTTTTGTACTTGTGGGTATCGGTATTGTCTAAATTTTCCTTGCTATCGTTTCGATCCAAGCTCTGCTTGTGCCCCTTCACCAACGCTCTCTCGTATCTTTCGAACCTGCACCACAAAAGAGGATCACGTAACGGTACATGTGTCGTATCACCACGTCAAGTGTTGCACAGGGTGTACAATATACACGTGTGGGTATACCTCGAGAGCCGATCCAGCTTGACATCCGGAACAATGTAACCAGCTGCGCGACTTGCAGCGGGGAACAGCTGCTCGTGCAGCATCAAATTGTGATTGGTACTGGTGGCCTGCTGCACTCTGGCGGGCCCAAGGGGATCCGACACTATCGGTATTCCCGTCACGGGATCTGCAAACGTTGGGACTCAGTTTCACCTTTTTTTTCTAATCAACAAAAAAATTAATGGCATAGACGTATAATATATGTATGTACCCAAGTACTGCGAATAGAGCTCCCACGACTTGGGACTCGGGAATATGAGGACGAATCCACCCCTGCGCTCAAACTGGGCCCTGGCCGAGGCCAATATTCGTTGCTGCTCGGAGCTCAGGCTGGACTTGGTGTTACCCGGTTTGGCAGTGGCAGGCTTCTTCTTCTGATTCAACGTCTCGGCCGAGTGAACCCTCCTGCACTGCGGATCATCCAAAGTTTCGTTACGTATACGCACTCGTACAATAGGGCACAAAGGTCTTATACACAGGAATATTACACTGGACATTCGCTTGGCGGGATTGATGAGCCTGTTGGGCTGGGTGGTCTTTGGCCGGAGTATGGGGTCGACGGCTGGGACCCCGACGAGGGTGAGGAGGTCGGCTATGAGGGCTGACTTGACCCGGACGTCCAGCGGCGAGTCGCAGCCGAGGGACGGCATGAAGTTGACCTCGATCAGCCAGGGTTTCAGGGTGTCATCGATCAGGATGTCGAAGCCAAACAGTTCTGAGATTCGAGACGGGGGCATGATTATCCAAAGGGAAAAAGGTACGATTTGCGGGTGGCGCGAAAGGTGGGATTTACCGAAGCAGGTGTCGGGATGCTTGACGAACTGCTTGATGCCGCTGATTATTCCGGAGGCGGTGGCGAGGATGGACTTGATGATGACGTCCTCGATCCGTTGCATGAGCAGTTCGGTGTCTTGGCCGATGGAGCGCAGGTGCCTCAGGAGTGCCGACAGGGTCCACTTGTGGCCAACGTCCTCCGCGTCGGGATCCTCGCTCCTGGAAATCGGTCATCCGAAACCACAGTTTACCCGAAAGAAACAACGTTTTTTACGATTCCGGAGAGTATTCCTATAACTTGTGTGCGACAATTTACGGTTTTGTTGTCTACCGATAATTGCGTCACGCTCAAGCGACCACCGGAGTCAAAACATTTTCTCGGGTATTAACGTGCTTCACGAAAACTATTCTTGGACGACATCCAAATCAATAATCACTTTGTTGTCAACTACTTGGTTGTCGTTGAAAATTCGTCAACTTGTCCCACTAGTTTTACACGAAAACACGTTTGTTTACGCTTTAACGTCACGTTTACAACGAGCATGGCTAATATAGAAGCTCAGCGAGCAAAACACACGGCAAACGATGAATCAGCGATGGGCCACGTTGTAATTGATTGTTTTTTTTTTTTTTTTTTCCACAACATTGCCGAGTATTGCAATTGAAAGAGTACAATTAAACTTTTGCAGCTAGTAGCCAGAGATTGATACAAGTGAAAGGAAAGAAAATATTACACCAAACGATGGCATAAAGTGCCAAGAAAAAAAAAAAAAAAAAAAAAAAAAAAAAAACAGAATAAACCTCACTTGACGTAATCGACGTGAAACTTGTTGATGCTGTAGTTGCAGAGGTGCATGCACGGATTCCACACGTACTGGTTGCCACCGTCGTACTTGACAGTGGCGAAACGCACGAGGCCCTCCTCGTACAGATAAATGACCAGTGGATCGTAATTCGTCACGGCCACGTACAACCGCAGGTCGCACTTGTGGCCGTCCACCAGCAGCGGGTTGTTTATGTACTGGGCGACTATCACCGACTCGTCCGTCAGGATCTTCTCCGGCTGCAAGTCACGGGAAATCCAAGATTTACGTGATAATATTGTTACGGGAAGGTGAAATTTTTGTCTTTTCTTCCTCGTCCTTCTCCCCCCGAGTCGATGCCGAGTAGCAAAGGCAAAAAAAGAAAGTGGTGCTGAACAACGTGTTTTACTTACAAAAAAGAGTAGCGCGCGTAGCACGGTATAATAATTGAGGTGAAGAAAAAAAAAAGGGTGGGGGGAGGGATGTAGGTATAGGGAAGGGCTTACGCTGTTGACGATGTAAATGCCGCGGCCGCAGGAGCTGGCCTTGGGTTTGACGATCCAGGGGCCCCTGTACCTGAAATGGGCGGTCACGAGCTCGCGCGCCTCGTTCGGCAGGACAAACGTCTGCGGTATGAAGTCGAGATTGCGGGTGCCCTTGCTGCGCTGCATCGCCTCTATGTTCTTGTACAGCCGATCTTTTCGCGTTATCTCGTACGATCTGTGCACGGGAGACAAAAGAATTTTTTTTTTTTTTTTTTCTTTGAGCTGGCATTGTCTTTTTTTTTTTTTTTAATATATACGGATGCAATGGTTCAAGGGAACGTACTGAGATGCGAGAGGTTGACAAACGTAACAATAATAATGAAAAATCACACGAGGTAATGGAAAGAAATCACATGGGAGCAAACATATTTACAAATTGTAATAATATAAACAAATTTTATTCTTCGATCGAGTCATATTTCAACAAAGAGTTATGAATTATTCAAGTATACGAGACGTGGAATATCACGTTTGTCAGATCGAGACGCTATAGGTGCATGAGTTCAGCTGCTATGGATTAACTTTTTTTTTAAAAGTGTCGATTGAGCCGAAAGTTGTGGAGATGATGAATTAGCTTTTAGATAAGTTTTAAAATGAATAAAAATTCTGTACAGGTACATTATTTAACTTGGTAATCGATGAAATTGTCGTTTTTTGAAACTAAAATTGAATCGTTCGTAATTAACAACTTGATTGACTTTCATGGCTTCACTATAGCGTTCTTTAATTTCTTTTGAAAGCAAGTAAAAACTACAAAAAAAAAAAAAATAGTACAGAGCGATTGTAATTTTTACCAATTATGTTTTTTTTTAGTACCTTTTACCTCCACGTGTGACACGTATTTTGCGCGTCGTAGAGTCCACCAAATGACTGTTATAGCATACATTTAATTTATACAAATACATATATATATATTTAGATATTTGATGTACAAGTGCGAGCGCACTATGATGTTTGTTCAATTCAGGTTGATTTTCAATTTGAAACTCGTGCGCGATTAATTCGAGGATTTGCTTATTAAATGGAGCGATCCCATGAATTTAAAGGAGCCGAGGGATTTGGACGTGCGCCAGCCAGCGCTTGAGGTAATTACATTGTCACTTGATACGCAAAAAGAGTTTTGCGCACACGTTTACGTAAATAGATACGTGTGAAAAGAAGAAGAAAAAAAAAAAACAATAAAGCTTACCTCGGAAAATGGTTGACTTTTTGGTAAGGCAGAAGATTACGAAGTACGTCCGGCTTTGGGTGGTTGCCTATCCACAAAATGTTGAACGTCGGCTCGTTGATGGAGACCTGAAACAAGAACAGACAAAGTCCACCCCCGCGGCTCGATTAGGCTACATCTTGTACAGCAAAGTTTTTTGTTTTTTTTTTGTTTTTCCCCTGACCTGGATACGGATGTGCTTGTGAGTGGTTTTTTCTTATTGTGACAGTTATTTTAGAGTATCGTGGGATTGTTCTATAGTATCTCGGAAATTTAAAAAATAAAAAAAAAAATCCTTGTTGGAGTGTTTCAAAATGCGTACAACAACAAGCTAGATTGGGTAAACGCTTTTTAATATATTTATTTTAATGGGAATACAAAACATGGCATTTCATCGCTTGTAGATGATTTTTTACGAGCATCGTGTTGCATGGCAAGGTCGTCACTTTCGAACGTAGTACACAGTTTTTGTGAATCGTTAAAAATTATCAAGGCCATTTTTATTTATCGAAAGTTTTATTCATCGACGCGATTGCACAACGTATATAGATTCAAGTTTTTCTTTTTTTCAAGTGATTAATTCTCACTATATGACGTTGCAGTTAACGCACAAGCTAAAAATGAATGAGGCACCTTAACGTGTCAAATGAAAATTCAAGGTAAATTAAGTATCGTAAATGTAAAGCTACCTAAGCAAAGTTTCGTTAAAAAAAAAAAAAAAAAAAATGCTCTTGCTCTTAGGAAAAAAAAAGTCCAACCGGAAGGCAACGAAACCATGAGAGCTGTTAGTATAAAGTATACGCCCATCCTTAAATGCTTCCTCTTGCCAAGTCACGAAGAGCCAAGCACGAACTTTTAGCCTTACGTCATACGGAAAGAGTATGTATAAGTGTATGTACATATAAAAGAACCCACTGTCGACTGTGTACAGTACGACGAAAACTTCTCGCATCCTTTGCTGATGAAGAATCAACTCGAAAGCCAGTCGTGCGTAGGTACATCCTACAGATGTGATTGTAAAAAAAAGGAACTCTGGTTAAGAGTCCCCAAAATAATTTTGAGACGCACCTCTAAAATTTTTATTTTTTATCTCCCACTAGCCTCCAGAGACATGAAGAAATCAGTGAACGTGCTGATCCTTTTTTTTTTTTTTTTCAGATTTTTAATTGTGCTTCGCGCTGATTTCATCGTAGGATATAATTCATGCAATGCTTGCAGACTTGGGCATGGATACATTTTTCATGTTTTTTTCAATTTTTTCAATTTTTTTTTTTCTTTCTTTTGCCAAAATTTTAATCCAATGTGTATGCCAAAAACTTTTTTTTAATCAAAGTATTTAAATATCGGATTACAAGTGTACTGCACTTATCTGATGGAAAAAAGAATTTTTTTTCTCATTGTTTTTACGGATAGTGAAAAATAAAAAATTATTTCAGCAAAGAGAACTTGGTTGGGAAAATAAAATTTTTTTTTTTTCAAAGTTTTTAAGAATCTATAAAATGATGGTTTGCCTGAAGACATCAGCGAAGTGCCGCACGCGACTTGTACACATAGACGAGTGCTGCAAAGAGTATTCCACGCGCGCACGAGTAGGTATAGTACCTACTTATTATTATACTAGGCTCTTTTTAACGTGCGAAGATTTTAATTTCGAGAGCTTTTTCGTGTTCCCAGTTTATATTTTCTTCTTTGTATTCTCCGGGCCAACGTAGGTGGAAAACGTATATATAATCATTTAAATTTTTTTGCAAACTACGTAATATCTCTTGATTAAAATATAATTTTCAAGTATACAGAGAAAATTGAGCTTCCATTACTTTCACTTAAAAACTGCGCAGTAGCTCACGAATACAATACATGGTCTTTTGTTGTTGCGTTAAAAAACATTGGTAGCGTGTTATTTTTGGACACTTGTCCCTTCATCCCATAAATGTGCCTTGTAACATTTTTTCCCCTTTATTACGGAGGATCCCTCGATATACACAGAGTTTATATTGAGGAATCTATAGGTAGGTGGGTAGTGTAGGTACGTCATTCGCGTGTGCGTAAGTCAAATAAGAGACAAAGGCACGCATCGTGACGATCGTATAGGTATGAAAATGTACAAGCGGCACGACATGACGTCGCGGACTATCCAAGGGCAAGATCGAGCGCGCAAAAAGTGAGCGTTGCCCGATAATGCAAGTACAGCTCGTTTGCCGCTACTGAACAGCATATACGTTGTACACGATAAAAGGGGGTACAGCACAGCATACCTACAAGTACACACGTCACACACGTGCTTTCCGCGCCGCTATACGGAGTAATTGCACGCATTTTATACCCCTATACGCATGCGAGTCACGGCCTAACGGGCGCTTCCGCGCTTTCAAGGTTTATACTCGTTGACGTGCTCTTAAATGCTCGGCGATGCGTTGACGACTTTAACGAAAGAAAAAAAGATTTTTCTCCCAAGTTTAACGAGAGGTGCCTTTCTTTTCGGCGATCGATCGCTCGTGATGATCTGGTACACTTTTACCGTCTTCCCGGCTGCACTTTCTCTTTCGTCCGGTCGCGAGCTCACCTCTTTCACCAGCCAATCATTGGTGTGTTTTTACATTTATTCTCGCTACAACTTTTTGCCGAACATCATTTTTGTTTTCAACGATTTTTCGATACCTACGTCTGGTTTTACGACTCCAAACCGGATCTTCGAGTCAAAGTTTTTTTTTTTTTTTTTTTTTTTTTTTTTTCAGTTGGTACCTTCGAGCGGCAGGAGACAAATGATTATGATGCAGTCGACAGAAAATTCACCGTGTGGATTATCGTACGTAGAGTTGCAGGAGATGCGTAATAAATAACAACAGCTTAATTGCTTCCTCGTCGACAAAGTACATTCAATTGTTCGGATTCTTTTATTTCTTCCTCCCTCTCCAGGTACATATTTATATCTGGGCGATCTTTGTCGCACGAAAATTGGACGATCACATGATTATTGTCGTTTTATGGAGGAAAATGTGGTTTGGTTATATAAACAATTCATGTTACTGTAGTCCGTGATTCAAAGAGACTGGATATTATTTGCTAAATTACAAATATCGCGCTACAGCTAGATATTATTGGGAGAACAAAAATAATTGTGCTGTACAAGAAAAAAAATTATCAGCGTATTGGTCACGGGTTGCGGATAAATCGCTCGAGAAAGAGCAATAATTCTTTTGAATGTTTTTTTCCAAATGTCAAGCGTATCGTGTGTAATAAAATACGCCCGTGTACCCTCGGAAAAATTGACAATCACGCGAAACGGTTTATCTCAATTAAAAGGCCCATCCGTCACGTCACGCGTCCGTACACAAGACAAGAGTCCCCCGTGTCCGTCGGCGATGATGGGGGTTTGATACGTTCAACGCACCGTACGCGTCACGCGTAAAAGCATAGGAGAGGAGGTGAGCTTTAATGGCCCGTCAATTGATTTTACGATCGCGCAAGGCGTTTCAATTGCCACTGCGACTACACGAGCAATAATAGGCGTATTTGATTCGACGCCAGAGACGATGATTACAGTTTTTCAAGTAGGTATACTAAATTTTTTTTTTCTTTTTTTTTTCACGTTACAATGTATAGACGCAGGGAATTCTCTGGCACTTGTTTTCACGTGACTCGAACGTTACGGAATTTCGAACAACAGCCAGATTTAGTTTCACAGAAAATGTTGTCCGCCGAACGGATGGACACGAGTTTAGCCGGCCTCCCATGTTAGTAAATACGAACCATAATTTATTGTGTCACGAATAAGCGTAATCGTCTGTAACGCTTGAGAAAATTTTGTTTCCCCGACATGCGCAATTTGTGACTAAATTTTTCAAGCTTTCAGTATGACTATGGATTTTACGGTCAGTTACTTTTTTCACGAAATCGGATTTTCAACGCGTTATCGCGAGGAGCATTTGAAATCATCGTTACGTTGGTCGCTCAAGAAAGTTGGAAATTACTCGCTTCGGTCACATTTCTTCACTAGAAACAATTGCCTAGAATTTGGAAGAATATCCTCTTGAAACGAGATAATATTTTGTTGCGTCGAAAGTGTTTTCTTGTTTAAAATGAATTTTTTTTTCTCAGAGTGATATAGTATAATTTTATTCCAAGAGATTTTTCACCTGTAACTGTTCCAGTAAATTTTTTTTTTTTCAGTGTTTATAAACCTCCATGAGAGGTATATCCAAAACGAAACTGCGTGAAAAAAAGTTTTGTTAAATTAGTCCAAGGTCCCTCATCGAATACTTTATCTCAAATAAGCAAAAATGTTATGTTGCGTGTTTTCCTGACTTTGATCCAATGACACTCCGTCGTACCCTCTACTAGCTCCAGGGAGTGGCAAATTAATAATAACAACAAGTAATTTTCATTTCAAACAAACAACTACTCACACGTATACGCGAGTGTGCATTTCTTACGACAATAGCGGATAAGTGTCTCAAATAATGTTTACATTTTTATGCTTATTTTAAGTCACAAGCATCTCTTAGGCGACACAATAAACAATAATCAATCGCGAAAAGTGAACGATAGTGGACACATTCCGCGTATCTGTACACGTAACTGGAAAAAATTGCCGAAAATGATCAGCTTCGCTCCATTCGATCGTAAATAAAAGAAGTGGCGACACACGCCTACACGTGGCAAAGCGTATTACGTGACCGTGAACACGTACTCTAACTCGTGTGGATATATATCGAGAGCTCATTGACTTTCCTCCTCAGTCTTATCCCTCTGTTAGCCGATAGGCCGCGTTACATCAGAAAAACACAGCAACGAGTACACCGACCGCGGCTCGATACGCGTGACGTATCGATTCTTCATGGATTTTTCGCTGATGCGTGCGATTTTTTTTTTTTGTTATCCTTTCATGGTTTCTTTTTTTTTTCTTTTTTCTTTTTTTCTTTTTTTTTAGTCCGTTCGACCGTTCTATTGAGGTTGTGGTTTCGATTGTTACTGGGATGAGATATGGAACAAGCGTCGAGGCTTTTACTGTTTTTTTTTTTTCGCTAGTAGAAAAGAATGGATCGATGATGACCTTTTTTTCTTGATCTGTGTCATTGATACTTTTTAA